CTAGTAATTAGTAAAGCCAGAGTTTGAACCGAAGTGGTATGGTTTCAGGACCCTGCTCTTAAAAAAAAAAAAAACCAACAACAGGGACACCTGGGTGATTCAGTTAGTTAAGCATCTGCCTTTGGCTCAGGTCATGATCCCAGAGTTCTGGGATCTAGCCCCGCATCGGGCTCCCTGCTCAGCAGGGAACCTGCTTCTCCCTCTCCCTCTGCTGCTCCCCCTGCCAGTGCTCTCTCTCTCTCGTCAAATAAATAAATAAAATCTTTAAAAACAACAACAACAACACATTAACTGAAAAGAAAACAAAAAAACAAATGGAAGTGACTCAAGAAGAAGGTGGGAAGGAGATGATATGGTGACTATCTATAGGGTCCTAAGTACCAAAGCCACAATTACTCTATTCAGCGACATACCAGAGTTAGTTTTTAAATAATATTCAAATATTCATAGCAATTTTAAATGTTTTGGTAATTTTTAATATATATTTTTAATGGTTTCAATGTTCTTTTTTATAAAAGCTTTACCATCACTGCTAAACTTGCAGGATTTAGGACACACCCACTGAGAAACTCAGGATAGGGAATTTTTCTTAAAGCTCTGTTTTCATAACAAGAACCACTTTTTTTACTTAGATTTTAAAAATTATTTTTATTTTTGTTTAAAACACTAATAGGGATTATGAGGCAGGGGTAGAGAGGTCATAGCTAAACCCCAATTCCATCCCTTGGTGACATAGCCACTAACTAGTGCAAAGATAAAGAAGTGACAAAGAACAGGGGGAAATATATATATAAAAGTCCCTATATATAAGAGTCCCTTTTTGTTTTGTTTTGCTTTTTAGGGTTTTTTATTCTGGTAAAGAACACATAACATTAAATTTACCATTTTAACCATTTTTAAGTGTATAGTTCATTAGTGTTAAGTATCATCTCGTACAACAGATCTCTAGAACTTTTTCATCTTGCAAAACTGACTGTGTATTAAAAGTCCCTGCATTTTAAATGCTTCACATTGTACTCATTTCATTTTCTTCTGAATCTCTATAGCACTTATTTGGACACTTAATCATATATACATGGATGTTTAGGGACCTCATGGTAAATTCCGTGTCCGCAACCAGATTATAAAATCCTGGGATTGTCCTTTTCATTCCTTGTGTACCCCACCACTTCTTTATCCATGCTAGGTTTATACCATCTTCAGACAACGAGTGCCCCTTCCCCTACTACTGAAGTTTGGGGAAAGTCCCCCACCATCCCTGAACCCACTGCCCCCTCCCCACACTCCATACCCCCAATCCTCCCTCACCACTGCTTCAGGGAATCTTTCCAAACTCTGTCTATCAGTTCTTTGGCCCTTTGTTTGGATCCTATTGAGGACATGATCCCTGGTGCCTAGGAATTTGTCTTGTTCAAGATGCTATGATGAATTATCATATACAGAGTGACTTAACAACAAACATTTATTTCTCATGATTCTGGAGGCTAGAAGATCAGGATCATGGTCAGATGCATGGTCAGGGTGAAGGCCCTCTTCCTGGTTATGTACTCACACAGCTCGTCCTTGGTGCATGCACAGAGACAGAGAGAGAGAGAGATCTTGTGTCTCTTCCTTTTTTTAAGGCATTAATCCCATCATGGGGATCCCACCTCATGATCTTATCTAAACCTAATCACTCCCACTTTCAAATGTCATCTCCATTGAAAATTAGGAACTTCAGTTTGTGAATTTTGTAGAGACACAAACATTTATTCCATGGCAGAGTCCAAGAATAACCACCATGGAAGGAGGTATAAACCTTTTAGCTTGAAGAATTATAGGAGATTATATTTATTATATGGCAACTCTTAGACCTTGGGGAATAAACAATGTTACCAACCAAGCCTGTTTCAGAGAAGGTAAACAACAAAAGTATTTTAAGCCCTATGCTACAGACTGTCCCATAACTATTCTGTTTCCATCAAAATTTACACTCCAGAGTGGCTGAATTTCTCTCAGAGAGATGCAAGAAAACTGGGATGATCAAAACATTTGCTGGAAAGAACAAGGAATGAAAAGCCAGGAAAAGAGGTAGAAGTGTCTGGATTTGGGAGGAAAGAGGGATTGCCAAGTAGAGCGTGGGCAACATAAAAGACCCAAACATCTTTTTTTTAACTTAATTTAATTTTATTATGTTATGTTAGTCACCATACAGTACATCATTAGTTTTTGACGTAGTGTTCCATGATTCATTGTTTTCGTGTAACACCCAGTGCTCCAAGCAATACATGTCCTCTTTAATACCCATCACCGGGCTAGCCCATCCCCCCACCTCCCCTCCCCTCCCCTCCCCTCTAAAACCCTCAGTTTGTTTCTCAGAATCCATAGTCTCTCATGGTTCGTCTCCACCTCTGATTCCCCCCGCCTTTATTTTTCCCTTCCTTCTCCTAATGTCCTCCATGCTATTCCTTATGTTCCACAGAAGACCCAAACATCTTTTTTTGTTCAGTTTTATTCATCTTAATTCCTGTGAATGTTAATTTAAACTTCCTTTGACCCCTTAACTTGTTAATCCTCTGCTCAAGAGAAAGTCCTTGGAAAAAATAGCATTTAAGTTAGGACTTGAAAACAGAATACTGTACAGACCAAGAACAACAAGAACAAATGCATAAAAGAGAAAGAGGGAGAGGAGAGAACAGATAAAGGTAGAAGAATAATTTTTGACTGAAAGGGAGGAGTCCATTTAAAAGTTCTGAGGTAAGAAAGAGCTTGGCTTTAAAGAAAATGAACATTAGTCCAAGGTAATAAATACTGTGCTAAGAGGTCACAAAGGATAAACCTGAGAATGAATCATTGAATTTGAGATTGAAAGGAATGGGGAAAGTAGTAGGGTTTTAAGAATTACGGTGAAAGTCAATAGCCAAACTATGGAAAGAGCCAAGATGTCCATCGACAGATGAATGGATAAAGAAGATGTGGTATATATATACAATGGAATATTATGCAGCCATCAAAAGGAATGAGATCTTGCCATTTGCAATGATGTGGATGGAACTGGAGGGTATTATGCTGAGCGAAATAAGTCAATCAGAGAAAGACACGTATCATATGATCTCACTGATACGAGGAATTCTTAATCTCAGGAAACAAACTGAGGGTTGCTGGAGTGGTGGGGGGGTGGGAGGGATGGGGTTGCTGGGTGATGGACACTGGGGAGGGCATGTGCTATGGTGAGTGCTGTGAATTGTGTAAGACTGTTGAAACACAGACCTGTACCTCTGAAACAAATAATACATTATATGTTAAAAAAAAGAAGAAGATAGTAGGAAGGGAAGAATGAAGGGGGGGAATCAGAGGGGGAGATGAACCATGAGAGACTATGGACTCTGAGAAACAAACTGAGGGTTCTAGAGGGGAGGGGGGTGGGGGGATGGGTTAGCCTGGTGATGGGTATTAAAGGGGGCACGTATTGCATGGAGCACCGGGTGTTACACAAAAACAATGTAGTGCATCAAAAACTAATGATGTAATGTATGGTGATTAACATAACATAATAATAAAAAAAAAAAAGAATTGCGGGGCGCCTGGGTGGCTCAGTTGGTTAAGCAACTGCCTTCGGCTCAGGTCATGATCCTTGAGTCCCAGGATCGAGTCCCGCATCGGGCTCCCTGCTCGGCGGGGATCCTGCTTCTCCCTCTGACCCTCCCCCCTCTCATGTGCTCTCTGTCTCTCTCATTCTCTCTGTCTCAAATAAATAAATAAAATCTTAAAAAAAAAAAAAAAGAATTACGGTGAAAGATATCCAAATTCATCAACCCTTGCAGTCAGCATATTTGACAGCAAACTTTGGCCAGACTTTTTAAAGAACAGAAACCGATTAAGAAAGTCTTCACACACACACACACACACACACACACACAAAATTAAATACGAAAAAGTCTTCACAACTAGGTAATCTTTGCTCTATATTATCTGGTTTACATGGTACTGGCACAACTGAGGAACAAAAGTAATGACGTGGCCATTCAGTGTCATTTGCCAGCTTGTGGAGACAGTTTGTGGTCTGTAGTTGTGCAACGTGTTTTCATTCTTGGCCCAAGGAAAAAAAAATTACTTATAAAGTAGTTCTCAGAAGGCTCATCACTTCAAGAGGGTTGCGGCTCTACCTGGCAGGGAGAAAGGAAAAGAATGGGAATGATTAAGGACTCTAAGGTGGTGTTCAGGGCAAAGAGACAACAAGGAGGTGCAGTTCCCAGAATGTCAAGCCCCCCTGCAAATCCCCCACCCCCCACCCCGGATATGAGTCTTTTAAAACAAATGGTATGGGGTGCCTGGGTGGCTCAGTTGGTTAAGCGACTGCCTTCGGCTCAGGTCATGATCCTGGAGTCCCAGGATCGAGTCCCGCATCGGGCTCCCTGCTCAGCAGGGAGTCTGCTTCTCCCTCTGGCCCTCCTCCTTCTCATGTGCTCTCTCTCATTCTCTCTCTCTCAAATAAATAAATATAATCTTAAAAAAAAATAAAATAAAATAAAATAAAATAAATGGTATGATGGGGTAACTGGGTGATGGACATTGGGGAGGATATGTGTTGTAATGAGCACTGAGTGTTATATGAGACTGATGAATCACAGATCAGTACCCCTAAAACAAATATTATATGTTAAATAATTGAATTTAAATTAAAAATAAAATAAAATAAATGGTATGTCAGTAATTAGGGTTTTCCAAAACATCATTTGCATCTCCACTTCTAACATAATTCCTCTGCTGGTAGCTGTAAGACTCCATCACATGATGCTGGTATCACTTAGCACAAGTGAGACAGAAAAAAATAACCACTATTCAGTCATCACCGAGGAGTTACTGTTAAAATATTTTAAACAATATTTTTTTATATAATGAGTGGGTGGAAGAGTAGAAGGAAATTGTGTATTGTAATGTGAAAAAGTCTTTTCATAAGAGACAAGAAATATTCTAATTCATTGTTGAAGTTAAAACCTGTTCCCATTGTATCCCTGCAGGTAGCAAATTCATACAGCTTTGAAGTTTTGTACACCTGCTATCCCATTGCCTTCTACAGCCATTATAACTTCGCCTAAAGAACAATGCTCTGACGAAAACTGATACATTGACCCTGAGCACCATTCTAATAGTTACTAAATAACAGTTTGAAGAGGGAAAATTTTACCACTCTTTGATTTGTAATTTTTTAAAAAGTATTATTTTTATATTAATCCATCATTTTATTAGTCAACTGGCTAGACCCTTGATCGATGAAGGTATAAATATCTGATATGTAATGAAAAGAGCCAGTTTTCAAACTTAAAATCATTTTTTAGCAAAGCCTTTCTTTGTGTAATAGTACACCATATTGTATTTTTGAGGATATGATGTCAGGGAGTACAGAGTATAAAAGGCGATTTATTTGTACAATACTTATCTTCACCTTAAAGTGCCTTTAATGGAGAGACGCTACATTAGCTGTTTCCCAGATTTCAATTCAAACAAACATTTCCTGAGTGACTTCAAGGGATAAGTCTTTCTGCAAGGTACAGCATAATGCAAAGGTGAGTGAAATCCTTTCCATAACATTTCACATTCCAGAGAGGAGCTAAGATGCATGCACAAAGAAAAATAATAAAAATAGAGTGCAAGAATTGCTAAAAAGAAATATATGAACAGTTGTTATGGGATCATAGAAAGAAAAGAGATTAATGGCTGCTAAACCCAGAGGAACATGATGTTGAGCCTAGTTGAGGAAAGAGAGGGCTCAGAACGGCTTTATCAAAAACAATGGATTTAAATCGCAGGGGTGCAATCTAAGTCACACATCATTCTTTTTAAAATACAATTGCTTTGCGTCTTTATCTAATATTTATCTCACCGTTTTGGGATTCAAAGAGTTTTACAAAGTCTAAACCATTATAAAGTTATAAAAGAGTAAAATTATTATTACATCATATTATTGCTGTGTCCACAGCCCTGTGCCAATCGCTGTAAAGACCGCAAAAGCCCTGCAAATGCTGCTTTGAAGACCTCAGACACTGTTTAGGTAAAGACAATATACTCCATGATACAGAAGGCAGATGATGTAAGGGAACAGGCTTGACTACTCATGGTGATTTTCTGTACTGCCCAGAGACTGACCAGCACCCGGGGCCCCAGCTACAGACTTCTGCATCAGAGGGCGCAGAATGCCAACCAGGAGCCTCCGTCTGTACCCTGGCTCTAGGTTCAAACAACAGATATCAAGAATGGGCCTGTCACTTATTATGATGAGCCCTGGTGTTGTATGTAAATGATGAACCAGTGAATTCTACTCCGGAAACCAATATTGCACTGTATGTTAGCTAACTAGAATTTAAATAAAAATTTGAAAAAAAAATGGGTCTGTTATTGATCTAAGGCTCATAAAATACTTGGAAGATTTATTGTGCCCATCTTAAGAAACAGGAGTCCCAAGATGCTCTGCGGTTTGGGATGCTTTGAAGAAGGCTGGAAAAACACAGACAAAATACCAGGTTGACTCTTTGGTACATTTGATGTCCTCTAACAACGTCACCAGCTACTGCTTACCTGGTAATTTGTTAAATAATGCATTTTGCTTATATAAAACGTAAGCGACAGTAGGGGGTAACCTTCTTCCAGGCTGTATTTGTAAATTCACAGACCTAGGTTGGACACCTATCATGGACTAGGTTACTTACCATGTGAAACCTTATCCTGGGAGAGCAATTAAGCCCCTCACTGACTTCTTTAAGAATGAAAACAGGCACGGAGAAAATTATTGCCTACTCCCCAAAGCTACCTGTGTTGCCTCAAGATTAGAGGAGTGTTGTGGGGAAACATAAGGATGGACTGGGAGGGGAAGTGAGAGATTGAATACACCCAAATCAAAAGCCCTAGGGGTTTCCATGGTCCGCTTCCCTTTCACTAGCTGAGATTACACACAGCCCATGCTCCAAAAAAGCGGAGTGCCCAAATCCAAATCTACTAAGGAGATCTGCAGGATTTGCTTAAAAAACAGAAAAACAAAAAACAAAACAAAACAAAAAAACCCACCTTTTACAAAGCCTGAGCACTTCCTTAGAAGAAGGTTAGGGCTCCAGGGGGCTGTGTCAATTCACGTGGCTATGGTCACTTTCAGGGTGCCGAAATGGGCAATCATAAAGTGGTAGCCAAAGGGCCAGAAAGAGTTAATGTGGCTTCCCAGAATGCCAAACTCTTCCAAGAAAATATCCTAGGTACTCAGAATAGTGGGCCCCAGGTGCAGGAATATATTCGGAAAACCAAGTGGGGGGAAAAAATTAAGAAAGGAAAAAAGAATACCAAAAGATACACTTGAGTAGAACAATGTTTAACTTAATAAATAATGCACATCATAAAATATGTATTTATTTAGTAAACACCTCGTATACCACAACATCAGTCACCCAAATCACCCTGGTTTTGCAACTGAATAATAAATACAGCACCTTAAAATATCTGGCTGCCAAGACGGATAAAAGAGCGAAGAAGCCAGCACATACTGACCTCAGACTCCACAGCTTTCCCCTGCCTCTGGGGGAGAAGACACAGCGGATGCTGAGTGATTGGGCGCGGAGGTAGCCGCAGTGTTCAGAGGCTCTGAATAATGGATATCCTTGGAAGAAGCCCTCGGTGGAGGCCGCAAGCCGCCATGGGAGGAGGGGAAAGTGTCGAAGAACCTTCAGGGTCTTGCAGAGACCAGGGGGAAACCAGGAGAGAAGAGCCTGGCAATAAATCTTTCAATACCCAAGAAAACAGGCCACCAGATAAAGGATTTTATCCATTTTAGCAGAAGAGCATGTGTTCCCTTGCTGAAATAGTTACTCCTGTGAAATGAATATATGAATGCTATTAGATCCAGTCTGAGAACGTCGGACCGATATGACCCATCTGAAACCATCACTTGTTTAACCTTGGCTTGCAGATTAGCACAAATTAATTGACAGAACGTGCTTTGCCGGGAATTTGCAGAATGCTTTCCAAACGGTTAAGCCGAGACACTCTATTGACCATAAAGGGTTCCTAATGCAAACGAAGGAATGCTGAGATGGCATTACTGTCTACAATAGGTTGCAGTTTACAGCGATAAACTTCCCGTCTCCTATCAAGCCTTCAGCCTGCAGCCCTTATCTTCACATGCTGACACGTGTAATCTAGCCTCCTCACTTTGCCACAGTCAGAGCAACTGCTTGACAATTTGATTACAGTTTCCTGTCAGCTCAGGCACGGAATATTTCTGTGAGCTTTCAGCAATCGCAAAATATTTTGAGTTTGAAATGATAGTAATCCCTGAAGAAAAACGTCCTCAAAATATTGATTTCCGATAACCAATCAAGGTCTGCATAAAGGAAATCGCTTTAAGTGTCTATGAATAAGGATGAGTTGGAGCACAGAGGCAAAGAGGGTGCGGGCTGGGACAACGGCAACCAAACAGAGGACGACTCGGGCTGTGGAAGCTTCTGAAGGAAGCAGGGCTTGTGACAAAAGAGCCACCGTCGGGGGAGATAATTGAATCACCACTCTGCTGGACCAGTATGTAGTCCGTGTTTGTCAGTGTCCTTTCAAAAACACTCCTCGTCCTTCAAACGGCTAAAGGTTGTTAGGCACGTATACTGGTAGAAATTCCATAAGAGAGAGAAATGAAGAATGAAACTTTGTCATTGAGAAAGCAAAGCACCTCTCAGTTTAATAATTTACAGATGAACGTGTATTTAATTTTTTTTTTTTTAAGATTTTATTTGTGAGAGAGAGAATGAGAGACAGAGAGCATGAGAGGGAGGAGGGTCAGAGGGAGAAGCAGACTCCCTGCTGAGCAGGGAGCCTGACGTGGGACTCGATCCCGGGACTCTGGGATCATGACCTGAGCTGAAGGCAGTCGCTTAACCAACTGAGCCACCCAGGCGCCCCCCCCTTTTTTTTTTTTAATTTTTTTTTTTTTTTAAGATTTTATTTGTGAGAGAGAGAATGAGAGACAGAGAGCATGAGAGGGGGGAGTGAACGTGTATTTAAAAGAACTAATATCAAGTGTTAAAGGCCATAGCTATCTGTAAGGATTTTTGTCCCTTGTCAGAAAATGGAGAGAAGCTTTTTCAATGTATGAGTATGACTGGCTCTTTGTGACCCCTAATAGAGAAATGAAATAGGATTTGTCTTGAATTATCGACCTTTCCCCTGCAATGAGAGTGTGCCAAGAAAGACCTCCACATTCTTTTCTGTTCCCTCAGAAATCAGTCATTCAAAATAGTTCCTACCAGCATTTTAGGCACTACGACACTACCGAGTAAGACAAAACTGAGCTTATGAACGAGATAGAGATGGGCCTACGATCAGATAGAAGAAATCATGGAATTTTAAATGGAGGAAAATGTTCTGAAATGAAAACCTATTACGGTCGCCCTGGAGCTAAAGGTAATTTATAGGTAGACCAGTAAAACATGTGTTCCTCAATAATGCAATCAATCATTTTACCTGGAATCTAGCCACTCAGCAATGTAAGGCTCTAGCATGAGGCTAGAGTTTTTTCAAGCTGCTATTAGTCAAATAGCTTTAATGACTTCTACTTTTAGACAACAGTTAAGGCTATTTAAATCTATAATTTGTCCTACATTTCTTCTTAAACAGGCATGCAACTGTACATGCTGACACTGCTTATATTCAGAATAGGGAAAGCAAATGGTGGCAACACATGGACTTTGAAAGCATAAATTACACAGAATGTTTCTGTCATTGACATTTCATTTGTGTAATAAGGCATAATTTACATAGAGTAAAATTCATCCTTTTAGTGTACCACTCTGTGAGTTTTGACAAACACATAGAGCCATGTAACCACTATAACAATCAGAATGTAGAACAGTTCGATAATCCCTCCAAATTTCCTCCCGCCCTTTGCAATCCACCCTGCCTACAACCTTGGCCCTTGGCAACCATGGTTCTATTTTCCATCCTTATACTTTTATGTGTTCCAGAAAGTTATATCAGTGGAATCATACCATTTATGATCTTTTAAGTCTGGTGCCTTTCAACCATAAAAATGTGATGGAGATCCATTCCCATTGTTGTGATACTATTACATTCTTTTAATTGCCAAGTATGACTGTACCTCAGTAGGGATTGATTCCAGTTTTTAATGATTACTAATAAAGCCACTATAAATATTAACATACATGTTTTTCTGTGAACAGAAAATTTTATTTAGCTTGAGTAAATACCTAGGGGTAGGGTTGCTAGGTCGTTTGGTAAGTATGTGTTTAACTTTACAAAAAAACCTGCCACTGTTTTGAAAAGTGACTGCAACATTTTGGATTCCCAAAAGCAATATATGGGAACGTCCATTGCTCCACATCCTTGGCAGCCCTTGGTATTTTCAGTTACTTTGTGTGCTTGGTTTAGCTATTCTAATAGATGTGCTGTGCTGTCATATTGTGGTTTTTATTTGCATTTTCTTAATAACTACTGATGTTAAGCATCTTTTCATGTGCTTATTTGCCATTCCTATATTTTCTTTGATGAAGTGTTTTTGTAAATCTTGTGCTCGTTTGTTTTTTCACTGGGATGATGGTTTTCTTAATACTGCCTTTTGAGGGTTCTTATGTAAGCTGGATTCAAGTCTTTTATCAGATACGTGATTTCAAACATTTCCCCTAGTCCTTGACTTTTTATTTCCTGAGTAATGTCATACATAAGGCAAAAGTCTTCGTTTCAATTCAATCCAATTTATCGATCTTTTCTTTTCTTTTATGCATTGTGCTTTTTGTAATGTATCTAAGAAATCTCTGCTTAATCCAGGATTGCAAAAATTTTCTTCCATGTTTCCTTTTAGTCTATGGATCATTCACAACATAGTTTAAAATAGATCCAATGTTAGTGAAAAGAAAAGATAACTTTTTTTTCTAATTCAGAAGCATACAAATAGCCTTCAGTATTTCGCATGTTTGGAAATTTTGAAATCACAATCTGTTCCCTAAAACATAACAAATCACACCAGTACATTCATTCATTCATTCATTCATTCGTCAAGTATTTATCAAGTATTTGTCAAGTATTAGTTTTATTATATAAAAGTATAAGGATGGAAAATAGAGCCACTACTATTTTTGACTTATTTTGCTAGATGGTGTTTCAAACATGGTTGGTCTCCTCCCTCAAGAATTTCACACCCTAATATAAGGCAGACAAGTAGAGAGAAATCTGTAGCACTGTGTGATAAGAGCAAGGATTAATAAGAATGAAAAGCAATAGGAATGAAAAGCAGGATACAACACAAAATGATAAAGTATAGTAACCTCATGTAAGAAAGGAGATAAAACTTGTAGCCCTCAAGAGCACATGGTTTTATGGAGGAGATGAAAATATAAATATATAAATAAGTATTTAATTACCAA